GCAGATACCTTATCAGAAAGTTGAAAGCGATTCGGGATGGGGAATTATCTCTAAATTTATACTTTAGAATGTAAATTACATACAAACTAATGGGACTAAAACTATTTGATCTTTTAATATTTAATTAATGGTTCCCCATGGCCTTTTTATAGCCTGTGTTCTATTGTGAGCAACGAGACTTTAATAAGCAGGTTCAGGACTTCCCATTGTGTGGCAAGATGTCGTTGCTTCCATGACACTAATTTGGCTTTCAAACTCTCTCCCTTTCTCTCTTCTCTTGCTATAGGGTTCCCTGTGACTTGCTCTCACATTGAGAAAAATAAATATATGAGTCGTATTGTTATTACTTGTTGGAGATTCTTTCTGGTCTAAAAAAAATGATATTTCACAGTGCTAAATGTTTATCGACTCCCCTCTTTACATTAACATCCCTTGAAGGTCATAATAAAGATGAGTCTTTGTGAGAGCAGATCTTTAGCAATAATGATATAAGATACATTCTTTTCGTTTTCAGGGAAAGACAAATTTGCTTGTACTTCACAAATCATACCTTATGAAGAGTTGATTTTTTATGTGATTATTGCCAAGTGGTCCCTGTCTGGCCACGATGGCGCCCAGAAGAGAAATCTGAGTGTCTGAGTCTCTAGGAATATTCTTTTCCATGCCACCCCCTCCTCTTACTGTCTAGCTCAGGAGCTCATTATATGGGAAGAACTAGTGTGGACATGGGTCTTGTTTGTGTGACAGTTGCCCCCAGGCTAGTCTAGCTCAAGGAAGCAAACACATATGTCTCTGAAATTTCCTCAGAAGGCTTGCTCTGACTGAAACTATTCAGGCTAGACTGTAGGAGACCACATTGCCTGTTACATTATGTCAGATGATGTATAGCTATCATTCCACTATATTTTTGTATTTTTTTTCTTTTTTTGGAAAGGTTTTTGCTAAAGGGCACGTGCCCTCACCAGAAGACAGAGAGAGACAGAGAGACAGAAAGCGAGAAATCACTTCCCAGGGGGGAAAACCATGCCGCAATCCCTTCTCCTCCATTCTCCTTTCGGGATCTTAGACACGCATGCACACGCACCGGGCATGAGTTTAAGTCACCAGGTCCAGGAGTCGAACCGCGGTCAACTACATGGGAGTCCAGTGACATAGCCATTACACTAACTGCTGGTCCCTGTATTTATGTTAGGCTGCAAGAATATCAGAGCTAGTTGTTCAACTGCAGTAACAATTTAATCCCCAAATCCTGGTACACCTGTTTCTCTTCTACTTAATAATAGCAATAATTATTATCATATGAGGTCTTTTATTATTCAGTGTTTGCCATTTTTTATATGGCATTTTTTGACATCTCCCAATAGCTCTGTTGCGGTTATTATCTTATCCATCTAACAAATGAGCAAACTGATGTATGGAATAACAAGATGAAATACCATATTCCCCCAGCCATGAGAAAGGTTAAGAGTTAAACCCTCATGTGCTGGACACAGTCAAAGCTCTAAACTTTATTTTATTTTGTTTTTGACATTAAGTGGCTGACATTAATTTCTTAAAGTACCTAATAATAATAAAATAGATGACAGTAAAATTCTCTATTGGCGTACCTTTCCCTTCTATGTTCTATGAGGACTTGAGTGATGTTTCTAGTGAAGGCAAGAACAGCAGAGTGAGAACACTGACAGAAAGCTAGAAGCTATCAATCTATTCTGTAAAAACACACTTTATTTTTAGCATTTAACTTTTGAAAAGATGTGCAGGAAAACATCACCTCCAGCTTCTATTTTTATCACATTTTCTCATTACTCATGGGAACCACCGTTAATAGTTTTTATATATCTTTCTAGAGTTACTTTAGGCATATACAAGCAAACATATTGTTGTTAATTTTAAGGTTTTTGCCATATGGTGTGTGTACTCACCAGGGAGAAACAGAGATACAGAGAGAGAGAGAGAGAGACAGTGAGAGGGGGTGTGAGAAATCACCCCCTGGAGGGATGGCCATGCCACAATCCATTCTCCCTTCTCTTCTTGGGATTTTGGCACATACTCACTTGCGCCTGGTGTGAGTTTCATGCTGCCAGGTCCAGTACTTGAACCACAACTGGCCATGTGGGAGTCCAATGCCCTGACCATGACACCACCTGCTGGCCTCCGGATATTTATTCTTATCTTCTGTCTTCCTTTTTACATAGAATGTGACAAATTTTACCTTCTCTTCTATTCATGTTTTTCTTTCACTTGATAATATTTCTTCATTTATTTTATACTTTAATCATATTATATTGTCTGATAGATCTAACTAAACTTATATTGATAGATATTTGTGAGTCCCCTCCACCAATCTTTCTGTCCATAAACAAGACTGCAAAAAAAAAGAACTATACATATGTCATTTTGCACACATGATAGAATTTCTGTTGTATAACTTTATAGGAGTGGAATATTTAGATGAAAGGACAGATCATTTTTCATTTTGATAAATTTTGCCAATTTCTTCCCATAAGAAAGACAAGTAGTTTTTTTCTTTAAAAATAAAAAAAACCAACAAAAACCTCTACATTATTATATTCATCTTCACATAATTTTGGTGGAGTGCCTGTCATAAAAGCGTTCAACAGAATAATTATTATAGGATTATTTCATTATTCTCCACACCAGGGTAACTGGAAAAAAAAATGATATTGGCACGGCCCTCTCAGTCAGAAGTTCAATGGGTATTTGTTTGGTGTCCCTGATATTACTGATTTCATGACACACAGGTTTCAGAATCATGTGGTGCCTTCTTAGCCTTCTGACAACTTGTTAACTTCCACAGAGAACAAGAGAGCCTGAAATCATTCTATACACTGTCTGGTTATCCAACTCAGAGGGAAACTTCAAAAGTGACTGACTCAGAATCTCTCGGTATAAAGGCTTTGGTCATGTGAGGGGACTTCAAAAGTTTGAGAAAACATTAGGGATAAAGTATAAGTTTATTTTGGTGCAAAAAAAAATTGAAATCCATGTATAGTTTTTTCCCCATAGTATGTGTTTTTCATGAATATTTGGATGACCCCTTGTGTTTTCTCAAAGATTTACAGGAAGTTTTGATCATCAGCTTGGCTCAGAAAGTTTGGGTGTAGTCCTGTCCATTGTCTTATAGATAAGGAAATGGAGGCCCAGGAAAGTCAAATAATTGGCCATCGTCAGAATTAATTCATGACAGATCTGGACTAGCAACTTCCAGCTCTGTTTGAGAGTTGCCATGTGCAGTTTTTGGATGACTTGGACTATGCAGAGTAAACTAAGCAGGTTGGTGGGGGGAGCTAAGTGGGCAAAACTGCACCATTTACTCTCGGTTCACCTGAAACCACTCCACTCCACTATTTCCCTGTTTTTCAAGTATGGGTTTCCATATAAGACTTGTCTTATCGAGTTGGACACTGTGACCAAGTGTTTCAAAGCCTTTTCTCAGAGGTTGAGATAACAAGCCAATGAAAATCCTGCAACCACCCTACCCCTGCCTAACGAGGTCTTTGAATGAGTCCTAGCTGGGCAGTTGTCCCTGTTTCCTATTGGGAGAGAAGGGTCTCAGGCTAGGAGGGTTTGGAATGTTAATATTTTCAGAAGGTTAGACTTCGGCTTTGAAGTCCTATTCTACAGGGGCTAAATGAGGTCTTGTAGCCTATTTGTCATTAATGCAGCACAAGATTGGGAATGAGGTCAGCACGTTTTGTGAACCTGAAAGTGAAAAGTCTGTTCCCCACCACCACCACTATCTCTGCCACTTCTTCACTAAGTGAATTAGCCAGTACCTCTCACAATGACTTAGCTCTTCATTGATAAAATGAAACAGCTTAGACTAGATAAGCCTTGAGCCGTAGTGGTTCTCAGTCTTGGCTGCACATTGGGAATAATATGGGCTGCTTTTAAAACTCCCGAGGCACTGACTCACTTAAGGTATGGGCCTCTTGAAGAGGGTTTCTGATATAATGCGCTTGGTATCCAGTACTGGGTGTTTGGGTTTTAAAAAGTTCCCTGATTGTGATCATGTGCAGCCACTTTTGAGAATAATTGTCTAGAGTACAGTCCCCGCACAAACAGCATTTCCTGGGAATGTGTTAGAAATGCATATTCTCAGGTCCCATCCCAGAAATCTGTGGGTTTTTTGTTGTTGTTGTTGTTGTTCGTTTTTTAAGATTTTTGCCATAGGGTGCACTTGCAGGAGAGAAAGAGAGAGAGATTAACCTCCAGGGGGCATGGCCACACTGCAATCCCTTCTCCTCCATTCTCCTCTGAGGATTTTGGGCATGCATGTGCACATGCACCACGTATTTCAAACTGCTGGGTTCAGGACTGGAATCATGCAGTTAGTCATGTGGTATCAAGCTCCTTAACCACCATGCCACCTGCTGGCGCCCAGAAATCTGTGTTTAACACATACTCCAGATGAATCTGATGTGCACTAAAGGTTAATAATCAGTGAGCTAGAGGGTCAATGAAATTATTATGACAGGTGTCAATCAGTGTTTACGATAGAGCAAGAGCCATAGTAGTAACATCTATATGAGAAAGAGTGAAATAAGTCAAGCAAAAAGAGGAAAAGTTTATTTCCTAGAGTCAGCTAAATCTATGGTCTAATCATTGGACATAGACTCTTTGCAGAGAGAAAAGGTTTGATTTAAAAATGTGTGGACTGCTAAATGCTTTGAACTTTCTGATAAACATGCTTATTAAGAAAATGTGTTCTTCTGAAAATGACCATTTTCTTTCCTGTGAGAAATTAAAATGATAGAAGATAGGACTTGTTTCATTATTGCTCTACCCAAGGAGACAAGTATAGAAAATAACAGAGGTCAATATTGAGTTCTCTGGCAAGCAGTGGCTAGAACAAATAAGTGACTGTAATAACTCTGTCTTTCCTGATCAGCCTCCTGGGGAGCTACCTGAATCTACTAATCATGAGCACAAAGAGAGCTCGGTCTTCTCTAAACTAGGTATTTTCTTCTTCTACTCAGCCTGGGGCCATTGAGACTGCCATGGAAGACTTGAAAGGCCACATAGCTGAAACTTCTGAAGAGACCATTCAAGGCTTCTGGCTCTTGACAGAGTGAGTAATTATGGCCAAGTGAAGGGCAGTGGAAATATAGCACTTTTCTGGATACCACTATAACAGACGAGGCGATGGACCGCTGGTAGAATTTCCTTTGGTTGCTATGTAAGATAGTTGATTGACTTACCCTGTTAAGGAGTGAAGGTTCCTGGGACCTCACACCCACTGGTGCAGTCATATTTGACTCCTCCGGCTGTTTTCCCACCCGGGTCCCCCCCCCCCCCCATTTGTTATTATACCTGCCCTAATTCAGGCCTGCATCATTACTCTCAAGCACTATTGTGTTAGAGCCCTCTAGTTCCAGCTTGTCTCCCTTAAGAACATTCTTCCAATAACCACATGGGGTATGAATCATTCCATTCTAGTGCAGTTAAAAGGAAGATTACAAAAGAAAACATGAGGGCAATACACATAGTTTGCTTTTTATCTTACTGCAATCATACGAACATTAAAATCAGGGAATTCATGAATATAGGTCAGACTGTCCAGATTCAACATAAAAATCAACTTTAATGCTTAAGTCCTTATTGTTTTAATACCTACATTTACCCCAAGGTTTATTTTAGCTATAAGATCATTCTTTCCAATGCTATGATGAAGATGGTTGCTTTCTGTCCTGTCCAGAACTACTGTCTGTGTGACTTTATCTTCATCTATCAGGCAAATATTAGAAATGCCACAGTCTTTACATTAAGTAAAATATTCACATATGAAGGAAAACAGCACCTTTTTTTTTTATTACAGAACTCGTAATTCCAAATGGGTGATGCCATTAGATTATCTATTTCAGATACTTAATGGGCTTAGTAAATTCTGTTTACTGATTTGGTAACCTGATCACCAAAGCATTCAGCATAGAACATTAGTGATTCCTACACTTTGAGGGAAGAGTCATTTAGTGTTTCATCTCTGGTAGGACATCTTCTTGGACTAACTTTCGGGAGGGCAACATTTCAATGTTTAACCAACCAGGTGTGCAGAATGAATTCTCAATTGATAGGAAGTATTAGGTTGTCATGAAAGTCATGTATTTTTTTATGCAAAAATGTGTCATGTCATTCCCAACAACAGAACCCCAATCACCTATAATTCCATCTGACTGAACCCCGTTGCATACCACATGTACAATAGCTGCCAAAACTTGAAAATGAAATTTTGAAGCCAATCTGGCTGTCAATTTTGAGCTTTAATGTCTTCATCCATAAAGTAGGGATAATAAAATGTACCTACAGAGTTCTTGAGAGGATTAAATGAGATAACATTGGTAAAATTCTTAGCAAGGTATCTAGCACATAATGAATTTTCAATAGCTATTACTCTCTCTGGCAAAATTAAAAAGAACAACCAAAAAGAATGTGTATGCTGTCCCATAAGTGATGGAGAAGCACTGAAGAATTGAAAAATGTGATTTTATATACATTTTATGAAGATCACTATAGGCCCACATCTCTTATCTAAAATCCTTGGAATCAGATGTAAATCGGAATTGAGAGTTTTTCATATTTTAGAAAGATAAAACAATGCTACGTATTTTATGTCTTAAGTGGAAACCTCTTACACCCTTCTCTCAGCCGTAGTAATCAATTATATTAATATTTTTGGAGGAAACATGTGGTATTGAAAATAAGAGAAATAAAACTATAAATGGCCTCTTGTTGCTTCAGATCTGGGTTCACCAAAAATAAATTTGCATTACCTCTGCCATTTTCAGAGCTTTATTGCACTGGAATTGTAGATGAGGGATTGTGACCTGTATGTGCTTAAAACGTGAAAGATAAATTAATGGGTGGAGGGACCAGCAAATAGCATGGAGACTGAGGCAGCTGGATCCCACACGGCCAACTGTGTGATTTAAATTCCACTCAGGCCAGGAGGTGTGAGAAACACACTGGGTTCATATGAGTGTATGCCCAAAATCCTGAGAGGGTTATGGGGGAGAAGGGATTGCAATTTGGGTGCATGTGTGTGTCTGCAGACCTAAAATCCTGAGAGGGGAATGGAGAAGGGATTATGTTATAGTGTGGCCATTCCCCCAGGGGTAATTTCTCACTTTCTCTTTCTCTGACAAGTGCATATGGCTTATATCAAAACTAAAACAAACGAACAAATGAATGGGTAAAGGTTTGGGTGGCAAGTTAGATAGTTGTGTACTATCATTGAGGATCTGATCTTGTGCTAGTCTAGAGCTGGTTTGCACTAGCTCAAAAGAGGTGATTGGTATAATTTCAGAAAATTTGAGAACCAGCTATTAATGATTAATATTAAATGATATAAAATTTTCACCAAATAAACTGAACGGAAAGGTAATATATCCAAAACCCAGCATTTTCTGATTATTTCATTTTGTTTTAAAGTTATGTTTGCTCTTGGAGCTATTTATGCCTACTGTATTTGTGTGATGGAAATAATACGTGATGGTGTGCCGCTATACATTTCTTCCTACTGCCACATTCAATGCTCTTATGTAGGTAGCTTGAAATCAGCCACGTTGGCAGCATTGATATTGTGGAAACTGGCAAACACCACACATCAGAGCTTGATTTCTTTGATTGTCTGAGCATTAGAAACATCACGAAGAGTAGATTAACAATACATATTAACCTGGAACCAGCAGTTAGCATAATGGCTATGTCGTTGGACTCCCATGTAGTAAACTGCGGTTCACATCCTGGACCCGGTGGCTTAAAACTCATGCCGGGCACGTGTGCGTGCTTGCCCAAGATCCTGAGAGGAGAATGGAAGAGAAGGGATTCTGGCGTGGTCATCCCCCCGGGGGATGATTTCTCGCTTTCTGTCTCTCTGTCTCTCTCTCTGGTGAGTGCATGTACCCTTTAGCAAAAACCTCTCCCCCCAAAAAAACAAAACAAAACAAAACAAAAAAACCAATACATAGTAACCTTAAAATGAGTTGTGTCTGTACTTTTGCTTTGTAGTAACATCAAAAACTGAGGAACTATTATTCTAGCATTCAGAAACCAGTATCCAGTAGAACCATCCTCTTCATTAATGTATGGATAAAGTCTAGACAGGTACTAAGGAGTGCTTATTGCAGCCAAGCAGAAGTTGTGAAGTTGCGCAGGGACTGTGTTCTGGGCCCTTAGCTGGGGCCGATTCCACAGGCTATTCTCACACCCACCTTGTTGATTCTTAGCCCAGGCTGGAAATGACAAAAGCCTCTTTTTCCTAAAACATCCTTTTGATGTCTTCTACTACAAAGTATTAACATGATGGTCATTTTAGAGGAGAAATACTAAAAAGAATTCCATCGTTTATCATAGAGCATGTGTCGAAGAGTGCATTTGGAGCTTAGAAGCAATGAATTGATAACTGACATAGACATTTTTAAATAGATATTTGTGATTAATTGTCCTTATGGAAAATCCATGGTAAATTTTGGGTTTTAACCTAGGAAACTGGTGAGTTCACTAGGCTTATCATTCCAGTGTTAGAAGTAAGTGATCATTCTATTTTATCAATAAACTGCTATATAAAAAAAATGGGTAGAAAGAATTTGTGTACAAGATCTCATTTAATGTTCTCAACAATCTTGTCATCTATATTTTACAGAACTTGTTGAGTACATTTTTTTGAGAAAAAAAAAATGTGTTGAGTTGTCCATACAGCAGCTGCATTAAGATGTTGAGTAGATCCTATCCTCAAAAGTAGTTTTTCAAAAGAGACAGTAATTCTGACATGCTCAATACTTATAGCCTTCTAAACCTAAGCCAAAAACGTAACAAAGAATTTAATTTAGTAGTGTCATTTCCTAAGGAATGTTGTCCAAATTAATTCAGGTGAGCTATTTTGTGATGTTCTAAATTAAAAAGGATAAATTTTTCAGTAAAATTAGAAACAAGGAGTTTAAAGGCACATGGGAAAAGGGACAAAGATCAGAACTAGAGAGGTCAGTCATAAACCCTAACTAGATCTCAGTTCAGGGGAAACTAGCAAGACTTTCCTATGGAGTCCAAGTCAGAATCCAAATCTCCATCCCACCCGTCCAGAATCTTTATATGCCTGCACAGCGGTAAAGGCAGAAAAGGGTTTATCTCAACCTTACTTCTTCCTCTCACACTCCATTTGGCCTTCACAGGGTTTTTTAAAAGGCATTATGTGCATGCTTTTAGATATGATTCATTGTGGCATCACCAAGAACATCTTGACCCTCTATGGAGACTCTCCAAAGTATGATGGACTAGCAATGAAGTGGCTCTTAAGCCCAATGCATTTGAGATGACTTTGGCTATGGTAGTTAAGAAGACAGGGGGAGATGGGATTCTCCTTCCTCACATATTAGAGTTCAGTGCTGGGGGAGACGCTGATTCTAATTCCTGCTCTTCCTAAATGAGAAGACTTGCTTATGGTAACTGCAATCAGGTAGTTTTTGCTCGTCGTCTTTGCAAAAAGCACTTATAATATGTTTTATTATCTACTTTCCTACAAAGCCACCTGGTTTCTAGCCTAGAACTTGGGTATAATAAATATTCAAATACAAGTAGTTATCCATGTTGAACATACAGATAGTAGAATGAAAGTGGATTTAAAGGGACAGTCTTGTACCACAGAAAGTGTCCTGAATATCGAATCGGAAGATGTGGGTTTGAATCTTGGATTTGCTACTTACTATGTGTAGCCATGTGAAATTGGGTAGAGTTTGCCTTTTCTATATATATTTTTAGTGACTTTTTTTCTTAAGTGACTTTGTTTTAATGTGTTCTTTAGTCCATCAGAAATTCACTGCTCTTGAGAAAAGTACAGTTGCTGTTAAAATTTTTTGATATAGGGCTGCCCTTAGCCTAGTGTTAAAGGGAGCCAAATCCCACATGCTCAACTGTGGTTTGAATTCCAGTCTTGGTAGCTTGAAAAATGCCCTGGGTACATGTGCTGCATGTCCAAAATCCCAACAGGATGGAAAAATGAAGGAGAAGGGATTCTAACTGACCATGCCTCTTTTGGGGGTGCTCACCACCCCCTGTCCACTTGTCTCTTTCTGGTGA